TATATATATATACATTCTGTGCATCATTTTGAAACAAGATGAAGCACAAATGATGGGGTGCAGAGTTTAATGATCATGTTCAGACAGTACCGGGTAGTCATGTGAGAGGAGGTGGGAAGGAACAGATAGGTTAAGACAAATGAAGGTGCAGAGGATAGGAGGGAAGAGGACACGGGTGAAAAAGACTTGATGAATGAACACTTGGAAGAAGAAGAGGAGGAAGAGGAGAGGAATGACGATGATAATGAAAACGACGACGACGACGACGATGATGATGATGATGGTGATTATGGTGATGATGATGATGTGATGGCGCAAGCTATATCACTCGTATAGTCTTCGAGATAAAAATGCTTTGATACTCTTGCTAGACTAGCATCGATTTCCTTATAATAAGCCCCTTGGCCTGGCCCACACTGAGTAACCACATGTACCCCTAAGGTCTTCTGTGTTAGGCCCATTTCCATGATACAATGCAGCACTACACAAGTTTTGCTCTCAGTTGCTCCTGAGGAAGCATACGTGGCGAAACGTTGAGCTGTTTCGGTAAAACAAATTTCAAACATTTTGTATTTTTATATTGTTTTGTCTGAAAATCAAGCAGGACTCCCTCCTACTCTGCTTTCCAAACAACGATGATGATGATGATGATGATGATGATGATGATGATGATGATGATGATGGTGATGATGATGATGATGATGATGATGATGATGACAACGATGATGATAATGATGATAGGGATAAATTAATGAAGGCGATAATATATCAACTACAATTTATCAATCTCTCTAGGGAAATTTGGGTCACAATGGCACAAATCCATATATATATGAACAAGTGTTTATTCATATATAGTATTTAAACCCACTAACATACATATAAAGAATACCAAGTATTACACGAATGCAGAACAATTTCATTGCTAGTCTTCATTTGTCAATTTTTAGATAGGGCCTAGGGTTATAGTGCCTTCACAAGGACGTGCCGCCCTGGTCACAACCTAAACACAGAGTCACCGACACTTGTCTGACATTGTTTTTAAAAAGACAGCTTTCCCCACTTTCTCGTTCCTTACAAGCTTCCTTTAATCGATTATTATGTTCACGTTTATAATCTCGTTTTAAAAATGACTTCTCACAGACAACAAAGTTCAGCGAAAGGGAGTTGTGGAAGGCTTTCATTGAGGGAATTGCAAGGGTAAGTTCCTCACTGGTATAGTGCAGTTTTACAGCAGTACTATACTAATAAATAACTGCACATAGCATGTGTACCATCATACCACCTTTTATTATTGTACAAGTAGCAGTTTTCTGTAATATTATGCCCTTCTAGTTTTGCCGTTTTCAGGACTGTTTTCCTGAACAAAACGATTGTTATAGTGTCGATGTGTTTGTATTTTCTCAAACAAAAACTCAAAAACCCATTGCATAATCTAAAGATGCCGTCACAAAAAGACCTCGACTGTATGTCTACATTTTCATACGGACCCACGGTTCCCATGACACTTGGATCGACATGAAGACCTGAACGTCTTGCCTTCTCTAGAAAATAACAAACAAACAAACTAGAAGGCAAAAGAGACAGAGGTAGACCTAAAATGACATACATGTACTATAGAAAGTGAACGGAAAAAGACCAGGACAATATAAAACATTTTAGAGCATCCAAGTAGAGAAATGAATGATGAACCGTGACAGCCGATGTTTTTCAGACTGACCTGGAACTTAAAAAAAAAAAAAGAAGTAGCACAAAAAGGAAGGGGAGCCAAGGGGATGGAATGGAACGCTATTTGTTCAAACATATGAAAAATAGGAATCACAATTATACATGCAAAACGAAACGTTTCCGGAAAGTAACTGAATATTAGGTGTTATCCTATTGTTTAACAAGGTTTATACCTTCACTCAAGCAAATAAACCACCCGACAAGAAAAACAAAAACAAAACCCAACCCATAAAAAAACCCAAACTAAAATGTCAACATTTTCAAATAAGTGAAAAAAAATTGTTAACACCTTAAATGTACTTTCTGGTATCTTTTATGTTGGAATGGACTAGATTTTTTAAATAAAAAAAAACTACTGCAGAACAGCTTGAAGCTTTGATTCCTGAAGTAAAGAAACACACTTTTGATTATGCTACTTTATGTTGAAGGTGATGATAATGATGACGCTGGTGGTGAGAATACAGTGCCTTAATCGAAGACGACGACGACGACGATGATGACGATGATGATGATGATGATGCTGATGATGATGATGATGATGATGATGGTGATGATGATGATGATGATGATGATGCATGCATGTTTGCTTGCTTGCTTGATTGTCCTTGTGCTTTATCACTATCAGTTTAAGCCACAATAGTACTTGACAGACACCATATCTCTCTCTCTCCCTCTCTCTCTCTCTCTCTCTCTCTCTCTCTCTCTCTCTCTCTCTCACACACACACACACACACACACACACACACACACACACACACACTCACATCCACACGTGCAGGCACACACATACGCTCACATGCCCACACATGCACACACGCACACATTCATCTACTCTCAAACATATAGACAGATCA